AACAATAAATAACATTAAACATCCATCTTCCAACCTGTTCTGCCGCTAGAAATAAGTTTTGAACCTTTTCTGCTCTCATCCCCCTGCTTCACAGCGGGCACTTTCATGCCCCCAGCGAGGCTGCCCCCCTAGTTTATTTTTTCCTGTAATACTTCAGTATAGTTTTTTTTAAAGACAAAGCTAATTGAAAGGGGTGTTGAGCAGAGTTACAACCAGGGATTACAAATAATAATTTTTTTTCTCCTGCAGTTCGGCGCCCCTCCAGCAGATGGCGCTCTAGGCGACCGCGATCATTTGATCAGGCTGTAGCCTGCTCACATTCCTGCTGGCCATGATAGTTCCATATAAGCCTTTCAGTTTGTTGTYATTGCAAGAACAACACCTTCATTAATACTGTGAATTACACAACAATCTCAAGTATGATCAGAATGGACGTGCAGACGTGGGCTGGTTGAGTGTTCCTCTGTGGTCTGCAGCCTGATGTCAGTCCAGCGTTACGCAGTGGGGTGGAGGCTGTGTGGTTGCTTATAATGATCTGGGAACACAATCCGCTGAGAAATCCTAACTTTACTTGATAACCAAAGTTATTTGTGGCTCTATGTAATGTTTGCAGAACCGCAGCATAAAAAAATGTAAATTTGTAGATGCATATCAAGGTTTGTATCATTTTTTTTAAACTGTATTTTTCTTTACAGTTAAGTCAGACAAACAGTGCTGAAAACTGCTGTCCTGCACATAAAGTGTACCACTGATAAGGCCCCRAATTACTCCTGAAAAGGCTGAAAGTGAGTTATCACAGCACTAATCAGTCAGGTRGATCTCATGTTACTATTAGCCCCGCCCCTAACTGCACCTTGTGGTTTGAAAGCACAGGACTTGATCAGTGACATTCATGGAGCTGGATCTTTACAGTCACAGGATCACATTACCCAGGTGAAGCTCAGAGGAATGCAGCCTCCACATGTTATCAGCTCCAGAACAGCAGCTGATGAAAGCCTGACCTCATTAGATGATTAAACGTGATGCAAACGACAGCGGCGGCTCTGAAGGTCGTGTGAGGAGGAAAAACAGTGAAGCCAAAACAAGAACAAACTTATGGCTTAACTGAAATGTGATCTTAGCAGCTGAGGATCGGCTGGATGTTACTCTGCACAGCATGTAGAGGTAGCTGCATAAATATCAGAAATAATCTCAAACATCAAATGTTGCTGGTTTATCTGAGTGAAATTAGCTCTGAGCTCATCGATCAACCAAAGAGCTCAGCTGCACACGTCACATGCACAATGTTTTTATCATGGACTCACATTTGCAAAATAATAAAACACATTTTATCAATAAATACATTTTTATATAGCAGGGATGCCCAAACATTTTTCTCAACAGGGCCAAAATGAAAATGTATTCAGGGCTACGGGCCAAATGCAATAATATAATACATGAAATACAAATATTTTTTAAATAAAGTTCTTTGTTTTTAACAATTAAGCTAGCAGCCAGTGTGGTGGCCCACTTTTGTTTTAGTTTGTGAACTTGGAGAAAGTCTGCCATACGCTCAAGTAGCAAAAGCTCATGGGACATTTAATAAATTGGTAAAATATGAGTTTTTGTGGCCTTATAAAGTGTGAAAATCTAAATCTAATCTAAATATCTCTTGTTGTTACTTGTATTTCATGCTTCATGTTTAATCTTAATACATCAAAGATAAAGTCAGCACCATGAGTGAAGACTATCTGCACTCCAGTCCCTTATATGGTCACTGGACCAATGGACTAAGTGGAAACTGGTTTTCTACATGGAACGACAGGTTACAGATAGTAACTACTCAACTGCTGGTGGGCCAAATCAAATGGCTTGGCGGGCCAAATTTGGCCTGCGGGCCCCACTTTGGGCTCCTCTGTTACATAGCGACATTAGCATGGGGGTGCCAAATTTAAAATAAGTTGTTAAAAAAGTCACTTTTTCATTATTTAGCTTAATTTCTGTGTGTGGCTAGCAGTGGCCATTGTTGATATTTGTTGCAAGTTGATGACATCATCCTGTTAGCTGATGCACAATGATTTCAACTTCAGCAGCAGGCGATGAAGAAATGATAATTTATTGACATATATATTTCCAAATGTTGACGTTAACCTGTAAACCTCCTCAGTTTGACCTGTTTAAAGCTTTGAGGAAACAACACACTTACCTTGTGATGTMATCTCTGCCTCAGATCAGCTGTTAAAGACAAACATGTTCTCTTTTTATCCTTGTTGTCATGACGACAGCTTTTCTCCTCAATGGACTCATCATCATCCCATCGAACCTGTGGTAATAATGTTTAGTTTTCATGTTTAATTTTACATTATTGTTGTTAATGTTACATTGCACAAATGCAAATGTACACGCCTTACTATACATCTTTTTATGTAAACTACCTCAAACTCTTGATCTGGAATCTGCCTCACTCTATTTCTACTTTATTTTATTTTTTATTACTATATATTTTTATATGCCTAATACACTTTGTTTATTTTAGTATTTTGGACTTTATATTACTTTATAGTTTGTCAAGCTGTTTTTGTCGTGTGCTAATGTGCAATGTGTAATTTTGTTGTACAGGACATCCCTGATGTTGTGTTTGAATGACAATAAAGAGAATCTGAATTATTTAATGTTCTTTCTTCTGCACAGAACGTCTTGTTCTGAAATCCTTCAGCTCCTGAGCTGAGACGGATCTGAAGTCTGGGCTCCTGTTCCACGTAAAGAGTCTGTGAAAAGCCCCCCGCTCCACCCCACCCGTCCTCTCCTGTCTGTACATCTAATCTTCTGTCTGCTCCTGAACCAGCTCAAAGCTTCACTTATTTYCCAGTTTAGATTATTTACCTTACATCAGAGATTCAGCGTGCATCAGCAAAAGTTGCACAAGTGGTGCATCAGAAAAAAAAACCTCAGGACGATCAAACAGCCCTGACGTGTTTTTAAAATAATCATTTTTTGTGTGTAAACAATCAAGTTTTGTGGTTTGTGTGACTCGACAGTGACTGAATCCATTCAAGAGGCCGAAACAGCAGCTAAAGAAAGTAAACGATTCAGTCAGTGATGGTGGTTTAAGCACACTGAGAAAAAACACAAACATGAACTGATTTGATATAAATATTAGGGATGTAAGAAAAATATCGATACACTGAAATATCGCGATATTTCAGTTTATCAATATTTTCTTACACCCCTAATGACAGAGTGTTGACAACTTTTAAAAGGGATATATATTTAAGCAAAGCAGCAGGGTAGGAAACCATAGTTTTGATATTTTAATAATTTAATTAGGCTAAAAGTGTGTACAGGTGTGGTTTCAATTTATACAACACAGGTTCAGTCAAAACAAATATTAATGATTTTCCCCAACAAAGATCGAGTTAAAAGGCCAAAAAGTTTCACTTGCTTTACAAAAACCTACTTGATTTTCACAGCTTATCACATTTTAAACTAAATCTATTTTTATTTTCATCCGTTTTATGAGCGTTACCTCAAAAATATTTCTTAATTCAGTATTAATTTTCTAAAAATGCAAATGCAATTAGCTGTAGTCCTATTTAATTTACAGGATTTATTGTAAACATTAATAACGTCATGAACTGTAAGTATTTAACAGCTTGGATGTAAAAACTAGGGATGCAACAATACATGTAACCGTATTGAACTGTATCAAACAATTCATATTTTTAAACTTTACTTTATCAACTTGTCTTCTGAAGATGCTGTGTTGAAGGATCAGTGGATCTGTGTTCGACTACTCTGCCTAGGCTGTATTTT